AAAATTTTATTTAAAATTAATTTTACTATATTATGATTAAATATAATTTTATTATTATTTTTTATTTTAATAAAGTTTGAAATATTTAAATTATTTCTAAATATTTTGAAATGTTTTGCATTTTTCTAATAATTTTTAAATTTATTTCACCTTATTTGCCCTTTACATATTTAGATAATTCTTTCACTATATTTTGAAATATTTTCATTGCATAATATTTTCGAAAAATTATGTCACAATATTTTGAAAAAATTTGCATAATGCAATAATTTTGAAATTTATTTTGCAATTTTTCGAAATATTTTGTGTTTTGCAAAAATTTTAAAATATTTTTCACATTATTTTGAAATTTTTGTGCTATGCAAATTCTTTTGAAATATTTCGCATCTATAATTTTGCTAATGATAAAAGTATAATTAGCATTAGTTGATTACTATATATAAATGCTATAATGATAAATAACATATGTATCATATTTCTAGGACACCAAAATTTATAATGACTATTTTTATCACAATTTTCACAAATGTAAACATACTTTGTCTTTTCTAATATAATGATACAATAGGTTAAAAAGTGTATTGAAAAAGTATTAAATAACAAAAATACAATATCTTGACTAGTTGATTGCAATGTGTTTTCATTATTTATTACAACTTTAGATCCTATTATTATGTATATTAGAAATGATAATTATAAGGTTAGCAAATATAGTTTTATTATTTATACTTTGCAGTAGGTTCTTCTATATATACATACCTTGACCTTGCTCTTGATTTTGAAGTATCACATTATGTGATTTTGCAGAATAATTATTTAGCATAACTGTTTTTTGTCTATTAGCATTATCTATATCAGTTGATTCATTGCTTGCAATAAAGCTTATCTTTTTATTATGTTGCATATTAGCTGTCTTTTTAAACACTTTCTTGTAAGCACTTTTTGAAGTATTAAATATGACTTTGCATTTATAATGCTTTTGTCTTTTCATTCATGACTACAAAAGATTATTAATTGTTTCATAAAAATTATTCTCAATATTTGATTGTACAATATATCCTTGTTGCATATTAAGTTCTTTTTTTATTTCTTCAATAAATTGCTGATGTAACTCATACAATTTCTCAGCATGCCTAGTCTTGATCGCCAAATTGAAAGTTTTTTTCATTAGGCCAAACTTCTTATTATAAAGAGTCTACTTTTTTAAATGTTGTTGAATTTTAGGAGTAAAAACATATTAACTATACATTGAATTGATAAAAGAATAATTGACTCTAATCTCATATTCAAATATACTAAAATCTTGTCTATTTTAAATTGATATTGCATATTTCTGGTCAATCACTTTATTTTTTTGTATTACTTGTCATTAAACCAACATTTGACCAGAATTCTAATATGAAACTGTATTATAGTACTTTTTAGTAAAATAGCAAAGAAATGATAACAAATTATATTATGATATATAAATGTTAAACATGTGCACAAATAGCCAGCAGTATCAAAAATAACAATATAATGATGTTTTTGCTAGTTTATATATAACACTATCCAAAGCTTTTTGACATTATTTAAATTAACATTATAAAGAAGTTCTGTTAACTCAATAAGCATTTCATCAAATAAGTCTTCACTAAACATGTCTTCTGATTTATTCTAAATAAAAAAAATTAAACTAAAAAAATTTAATAAAAAAAACAACAATTATACTAATATTTGCATTTAGAATATACCACTTTTATAAGCTCTTACTGTCATTGTAACTCAGTCTCTAAATTTGTATAATAGGCTCAGTAATGTGCACATTGGTCCATTTGATAACATTAAAGTTTTAATATTGCAAGTATAAGAAATCTCTTACAAACTTTGTTGATTGCTATAAAATAATGGTTCTGATATGACATGAGCATAATGCATGATAGTTCACAAGTTGTTTCATTAAGTCTTACAAATTAAGATTCTTTTGCCAGATGCCATTTAATAGTACTCACTACTTCCATTAATAACTTTGTTTCATTTAATGATTTTTTAAGAATAGTATTATAGACTTCAACCCTTTATGTTGACTGTATACCACAATTAAAAAAATGATATATAAATGCAAGAACTCATTCTTCTTAGTAAGGATAAAGCTGGCACTCCAAGTAACATTGTATTTTGGAATAGCAATTTAAAACTTTTTTCTACTTTGTTTCAAAGATAATTTCCATAGTACTATTGTATGCTTGGCAAAAACTTGAAAAAAAAGCTCTAAACTTTTCTTTGCCAAACTTGAAAAAAAAATGCTTAAGATTTTTTTGTATATAAAACAAACAAAAATGATGTTTTATATTATGCTATATATTTTTAATTGTGCCTGTTATAGCTGAATCTGCATCTGTATAGACAACCTTAGGTGCTAATCCTTCTGTAGCATTAAGCAACTTTTGTAGAATTCATTCAAATGTTACTTTCTGTTTATCTAAAATTAAAGCTGTTGTGGCAAGACAAGACTGATTATAATTGTCTATACAAATTATGACAAATGTTATCATATTAAATTGATTTGTTTTGCAAGTTGTATCAAGCAAAACAACATCATAAAAATGACTCCAAATCTTAATTTGTTTAAGATGTAATCAAATAAAACCTGCAAGATAATTATCACTTCCTTTGAACTTTGTATTGATATATCAACTAGGTTCTTTCTATTTTTGGGATATTAATTCTTTATACATAGTATCTGCATTATTTAATTTTCTTATTTCTGTTTTAATTAGTTGAACAATATTGTATATATTATGTGAGTAGATATAATTGTTCTGATACTTGCATGCTAGTATATTAATAATCGCTCTAGTATATATGTTGCTTGCAACAAGAAGTTCTATATTATCTCACATATCAGATGTAAAGTAGTGATATTAAGATGCAGATATTTATACATTTTCAATCATTGGATATAAATGTTTACCAATTATACCTAAAATATGTATTTAATTATTACTTTTCTATCTTTGAAAATTAAAATGAAATAGGCATCTATTGGTTTTATAAGACTTGTTTCTCTCTTCTAGTATATATGCTTTTTTTTGTATTTTATAATAGCACCTCTTTGAACAATAATAAACATGATGTTTAGAAATGTCATCAGTCTTGTCTCATTCACTTTTTACTAATAAAAATGCAAATTCTCATTCATAGCCATGTTTGGTAAGCTAGCTAATATTATTAGTATGTACTTATAATACAAATATACATAAAAATAAAAAAAGTATTTTATTGTATAAACTACCTCAATAACAATAGATCTGAGTTCAAGTTTGATTCAAGATAAAAAGTAAGAGACCTAGGTCTATAATATGATTTATATATAATGTTTTAGGTTTGGTATATATTTTTGTGTACAAAACCCCTTATAGTAATAAATTCTCATTAGTTTTTTAATAGTTTGCAATAAGAGTTCTTAGGTGATTTATGCAGTGAAATATGGTAACTTGAATTTTTTTTTTTTACCTTTCAACTTCATTTCAGTTTATAAAGAATTGTCTTTTAGTTAAAGAATATAGACCTTTTGTATTATGTAAATTGCTTATTTTATTTTCTGAATCTATCAAGCTATTATCATTCTTAGTAGTTATCAATTGACCATTATCATTTAAAATTTCAGTAAATAAATTTAATTTATTATTATTATTGAAGCATAATTCTAGATTGTCTAGCTCAAAATTATTGATTATATTTTTATTTGTTAGTACAAAAAATAGTTGTAGTTTTTTTGTTACAAAGAATAAACTAATTTCATTATAGTTATTAGCAAACAATAACTTCATATCATCGATCTCATACATATTTTCATTTTCTATTATAGGAAACAATCATATTTTTGCCTTTATAAGAAAGAAATTAATTTTTTTTATAGTTATTATACAAAGATCATAAGGTTACATAATAGCAAATCAAAATAGATATAAAATTACTATATATGTATTTATACCAGGAATGGTGTATGAAATATGAAGTGTATGGTTTACGAAAGAGTTGAGTGGTGTCTCTTTTGTATCTGATTGGATAATCATTATCGTGATTAGGGATTCTATATTTGTATGCTGCATAGGGCTTTGCCTCTTAAGATGGGTATATCCCAGTTTGGGTTCACGTGATCTTCTGGTTAATTAGATCTGAACACTAGAATCAAGTTATAGCACTAAAGAGATTATATCATAATATTGAAATGTT